TTTTTGATATATTTCCGTAAGCCGTCAGCTTTATTAGCTGATAGGAAAAACAATTAAAGTCTAATAATTATAAGTGTAGGCCATAAATGTTAAGTTTTTTTTTTTTTTTTTTTTTTTTTTTTTATGCATTTCTCTGTATTTCATTGATTACAAAACATTTAGCCGACAGAGGCCTACCTAAAATGTTTGTACAAAAAAAAAAAAAAAAAAAAAAAAAAAAACAATTCATAAAAATAGCATAAATTAATTATCAGTGATTTTTGGGAATTTCTCAGTACAGCTGTACACATTAGTTCGAAGAGCAAGCTTTAAATGTAACATTTGATCAATATCAAGCAAGCAATAAAGAAGCATGCGGAAGATGGAAATTCCATAAGTGTTTTTACGTTTTTATTGAAACACTATTTACGAAAAATAATGGTATACTAATTTCATCATTTTGTTTGTTACACTTAAAAATACCCATTAAAGGATCTGTAGAAGATATGAGAACTGTGTTAACTTAAAACTTTAAGTCGAGATAAACATTCGTTTAATTGGTAAGAATTGCTCTGAATAACTTTATTAAAATAGAAAATAGAAGAGAGAAGAGATAACCTTAGGCTATGTGCGTATGAATTGAATGAGTTAAATGAATATACTGGGCTTTGACGCTCTATAGAGTGAATCCTTTTCGCAACAAGGCTGGCATATAAGTTCTATTGCACTCTTGCTTACTTTACCAATGACGCAAGAAGTCATTCTGTTCATATGATTAGAGTTTCACTTTTTATGTTTAAAGTAAATAAAAATGCCATGTAGCTTAAAAGGGGACGTTTATCCATTACTGGTTAAAATTGGTAGACTACAAATTGATGCATATATAGAAAATTGAAATTTAAAAATTCCAGAGAATTATTTACAGGGAGGAGTTAAAAGATTATCATCTTCAGAAAATAAATATAATTTCCTTATTACAAATAATGCAAGGCAGGCGAAAGCTAGTATTTGTAAAAATAATTTTTTATGCATTTTTTCTTTTTTTTTCTTTTTTTGTTTTTAATTAATATATATATTGAATGAAATCTTGTTTACCTTCGATGATAGGTATCCAAAATTCATTACTTGTCGAACGTAGTAGTTTGTTTGTTTTTTTTTTTTTTTTTTTTTAATTAAAAACATTTTGGCAAAGTGCGTATTATATATGAGTTAAATGGACACCTTTTAGCTAAACATAAAGACCAGCAATGTCAATAACTTATACGTACACAAAAACAAGTAAATAAACAAACAAACAGACAAACAAAATAAGTAATTCGAGTTTGGAACGACTTAGCAATGACCTCAATTTTTCCATACAAAAATCTTAATGTACAGCAAGAAATAAAGGTGGCCTAAACGTAATGATAAAGGAGGAAGATTCAAGGCATAAGAGGCATAAATTATTTTAAAATTTCTTTGTACTTTAAGCTATGGGTAGATAATGAAGTACGTATTTACCCACAGGCTCAGGATAACAGGTTTTTTCACTCAAATGTATTTTCCCGAATTTTAAGTGATATAACGAATATACATATACCCCGTCAGTAAGTTTAGTATAGTTTTCTTCATAATATGTAAGACAACTAATAAGCAACCAACATAAATAATAAATAGCTTCGTTTATGCAGATAAAAAAAAAAAAAAAAAAAAAAAAAAAAAAAATTTTAATTAATCATGTTTTAAAAGATTCTTCTCTCATATAACAAACATACAGCATAGGTATGCGTATATTTATATCATATGCATATATGTTTAAGATTAAATTTCATTCAAACAAAAAAAAAAAAAAAAAAAATACAAAAAAAAATATACAAAAAACATTTATAAAAAAAAATATTTTTATTGTACAATTATGAAATCTGTTTTGCATTATGATGACTGTTCATGCGTCAAGTGGATTTGAATACACATCCGCTTGGTATATTCGAATATTAGAATACGGTAACAGCACTTCTCTGCGTATATGGCGATGAAAAGGTTACTTCTCTATTCAATGTCTATATGAAACTTTTATTTATTTTTTTTTCAGTTTTATAGTTAGGCAAGTGCCCGTATGAGTGAGTATTGGTGTTATGATTTATTTATGATTGAATTATTTTAATGAAAAGTTAGCAAAATTTGAATGTTTATAAGCACAGGTAACTTTCAAGACAACCTGTTAGATGATAGAACATTTTCAAAAGTGTTGTACTTAAGTGCCTTGCACTTTTAATACCATTTTTATTAGTACTTGTTTTTGTTAACGATAAGTACGTATTAGGTTTACATGTTACGAGTGAAATACTTTGCCTTTTTACATGGTTTATACATTAGTTACTTGTATGTAAATATATATATATATATATATATATATCGATAGAACGCCCAAAATGCTGAATGCGGTATAGAAAAGACGTCAATATATTGAAACATGCTCCGCATGCTTAATGCGAATGGATGCGTTGCGATTAAACAAAAGAATTTTTTTTTATTTTTACATTTTTTTTTTACTTTTTTTTTTTGTAGGTTTCGTATAAACTAATGAATTACACATGATTAGCAACTATTTAGCAGTTGTTTTTAGTGTGCGAAAAATTTTATGTAAAATAAATAAATTAACATAATATTAAAATTAAAATGCTTATTGAATGATCAAAAAGAAAAAAAAAAAGTGCCGAACGAAAATGGGAAAAGATAATTCTTATGTCCTTCAGACAGATGCCCGAAAGTATACTTGTGTACATTTACTAGTGTCATTTACTGTTTGTCCATCTCTCCGTCTGTAGTTTTGCGCTCTTGTAATATCTATAAATCGGTATGTTTTTTGCTCATCGTCTATTCGATCTTCCTCTTCCCAGCGGTTACTGTCGATTCATTCACCTGGCAATTCGTGTGCTTGTCCGACTACCATTCTTTTCATTTTCCTTTGCTTGACAATCAATTATCCCACGCTGCTCTTTTATCTATTTGAAAACCCGTCCACGACCTGGACTTCTATTGTCACATTCATTCAATCCGGATTTTATAACGCTAACCATTAGTTTATCCGTTCGTCCATACGTCCTTGTATTCACTGGACCACTCGCATTCCTATTCGCTTGAATGCCTATCCTTTCAAGCACACATCTGCTCGTCTGTCTGCTCGACCTCCTTCTATCAGTTTTTATGTCCGCCCAACTATCCTTTTATATGATAAAATATTTTCCCATTTGTATATCCATCGGCTTGCATATCTGTTTAAAGTGGTACAGTGTTACCGTTATCGTCGGACCACACAAACATCTATCTATCGTCCGTGCGCTAATCATGCATCTACAGGACCATTCTTCCATTTGTAACCAAGCGGGCCAGCCGTCCAATCACCCGTCCTTTAATACCTTTGCAATCTTCTTGATCTCCACAGCCGACTATTCCTCAGTCTGCTGATTATCCATTCACTTGTCTCATGTTGTAGCGAACTTCCCTACTCGTAAATTTATTCACCTTGTCATTCATCTAGAATCTCCAAGCATATGGAGAGTTTACCGAAGAAGTTACTTTCAAGAAAGAAAACTTTGCACAAACTCATTACTCAAAATTGGAAATGGTATCAAAAGCGAAGTGGAACATAATAACGAACGGAGGCGCAAACATAAAAATAAACAAATGGTTAACTAAATCTTTTTTTTTTCTATTTAGCGGACATAAGTAATTATGTCTATCTGAAAAGTGTTCTGTGCCGTAGCGATTTCTTGTTTCAACTATGAAGTCTAGTCCTAAGCTCATAGCGAAAATTTCAAAAGTTTCCAATAAGAAAAATATCGAGACATTTGACTATCCCTGTAACTCTACATACATTAAATATATATTGCAGTTTATTAAGATCCATCTATATTTGATAGAAACGGTTACCTTTAAAATGAAGAAATGGATCGACAAGCATTTTTGAAATTAGAATCTTGACAAAGGCATTTCACAAAACACTTCTCACACATATTTACATCTACGGCATCCTTTATATACATATTGCATGCATCTTTTTATAACCTTGCGGCACGTTTTTTGACTTATCGGAAATAAAAAAAAACTAATCATACGTTAAGTATTCCGACTAATATTTTCCTAAAATGTTGGCAAAAAATTTAAGTCTCGTTTTAATGGTTAACGGTATTGCTGTACCGCCGAAATCGGCTTTAACTTATGTGGAAGAGGAACGAAAAAACGGCACAATTGCGGAAAACATTTGTCATAATTTTGCCGAAAAATTTATTCATCTACGCAAAAATAAAAGAAAGTCTGCAGTTAACTAAAAAATACTGTAAGTAATTTCTTGTTTTTTTTTTAGATACAAATTTTTTCCTAGGATTTATTATAAAAAAACTTTGCTCACAATTATTATTACATTATAAGAGATTTTTTTAATTAACTTATGATATGATTATCTTTAGCATGAAATAGCTATTGAAAATTATTTTAAAAAAAAAATGCATAATTTTGTATGTGCGCGCATTTGCATAGAAATTCCGATGTTTAAAAAAAAAAAAAAAAGTTAATTAGAATCTTGAGACAAAGAAAATAATATGTAAAAATTTTGCTATACGAAGAAGAAGAAACACTTTATTTATAAAACACTATATAATAAAGCATTAGGTTAAGGTGAACAAGAAAATTGCACATTTAAAAAGACGCATTCACAGGCATATTTGCGCACACACATCGAAAATAATTAGAAATCGTTAAGAAAAACAATAAAACAAAAAATCCAAGGAAAAAAAAAAAAAAATTTCAATAATCAAATTTGACTTTGACATTAATAATTCCATAAAAGGTCCATTAGAAAAATTAAAATACAAAAAAAAAAAAAAAATACAATAATACAAAAAACAAAATAACGCATTCGATAAATAAGTTAATAAATTTTAAATAAAAAAAAAAAACACCAAACTATACACTCGCACACGCATCCGCAAACATTTGCTTATATACTTCATATATACACTAAAATATATCATATAACTCACTTGGGTTCTTCACTTCACTTAAATGTATATCCGTTTCCGTTTATTTATTTACTTGTTTTTAAGTAAAAAAAAAACACCAAAAAAAAAAAAAATTGAAACTTAACGTTACTTTATCCGTTAGATTGTTTTAAGATATCCGTCAATTTTGGTTGCCAAGAAGATACTAACTGATATTGCTCGAACCGTTTTCAATAAAATTATACATAAATAATTTATATATATATATATTTCTTATTTTGTTGTTTTTCAAATAAAAATTTGTTCTCATTAAACAAAAGAAAAAAAAGGAAAGGAAAACAAAACTAAAGAAAACAAGAAAAACACAAAAATAAGAAACGACACAAAATATTCATTCGGTATGTATGTATGTATGCAAACAAATGCAAAGATTTTATAAAAAAATATTAAGCCAAACTCACTAAAGCTTCAAGCCACAAACAAGAAGACATGCATGTCGATCATGTAAAAATGTGTTTCCCACATGCTACCTGTTCGAAACGAACCGTTTTCGGAAGAAGCAAGTTTGAAAGCTAATCCAACCGATATACATATATATATATATATGTAGAAGTTGCATAGTTATAAAAATACTTGCATTATTATACTAGCGATGAGATGGTCAAGGTAAAATGAAAAAATTTTCAATTTTTTTCGCTCATGTTAACGCTAGCGCGTTGGCTCTCAACTTATTTGCTTCACTATCCTTAAGTTTATGCATATATATGCATATGCATGTATTTTATATAAATACAAATATATTCTTGTGTTATAAGACAGGATGAAAGGATTATATAAAAAAAAAAGAGCTTAATTTCTGTTAAACCAGTCATTATATTAAAAATTATATATATATATATATATACCATAGAGTGTTTTTATATCGTTACTTTAATATTATTCTAAACGATCTACTAAACGATTTTAAAAATATAATCTCTTAAAAGAATAACGTCGCTTATATGTTTTGCAATGAATTCTGAACTATTACAGAAACGATCTTTATATAAAGCTAAAAAAGATGCTTGCATAAGATAAATATGTATAGACATGAATATCTCTTGCATATGGCCTAACCGATTAAACATTTACGATCGCTTTTATTCTAATCTATATCGCTAATGGAATTCATTCCTAAATATTAGAAAAATTGTTCTAATGAAGTTAGAAGCGATAGTTGACGTCCTTGAAATTTTAAAATAGAACGCGTAATGAAGAACTGTGCTAAGCGATGTAGTGCTGAGTATTTAATGAGGCCTTTCTATCTTTTTAAACAGTCAGTTATCATAAGACTGTATGCTATAATGACGAAATTGCACGCATTGAAGTTCAAATTACTAGCCTACAGAGACTTTTATCCGTTGGACATTTGTGAGTTTAATACTGAGGAATAATGTCGAATATAACAGAAAAAATTATATGTTTTCTTATTTGCTCCCGGGAATTATTGACCTGTGCATTATGCAAAACCTAGATCTAGTCACGCCTATTTTTAACTAACTTTTCAGTAAGCATCGAAAGTGTAAACAGATCTCTGCTATTATTTATGAACCGATAATGATAAATAAACTTGTTCTTTCTACAAGCTATTATATATAACTATTTCCAAGTAGGTTTGATAAACAAACCGTTTTAATGCTTAAGCAATACCTAAGCGTGATAGTCACTTAGTCAGATAGTCAGCTTAGATGTTACGGCTTCGTTCGAACGGAAATTTGCCTCTAACCGAACATTCTGAAAACGATGTTGATTTGATTCTGATGTAAGTGCCCACTGAAAAAAATATGCCTTAATAGAGGCAACACCAATTGCTGAATATTCGGTTATCGAAAAGAACTTCTTTTTAATCTTCCAATAAAGAGGTGATGGAGGAAATTTCATTCTCTTCTAAAGGTTTTCTCTTCTAAAGGTTTTAGCTAACACATCGAAAGGTCATTTGTGGTAAAGTATGGTATGTATGTTGTATGAAGATATAATGTTAACGGAACACTATTATTATCGAAAAAGAAACATATTTTTTTAATAAGCATGATTAACGAATTCATATTTTTTTGAGTAGATTTTCTCGTTAATAATTTTTTTTTGGAAAAAAAAAAAAACAAATTTTTATACACAACAATACAATACCGACAATCAAGTTTTTGTAAACAACGGCATCTATCACATTTGTCCAACTATTCATGTTAAAGTTTAATATGCGATCTTTGGTGACAAGGCCAGCGAAATCAAAATGTTTATTCAATGGATGTATCATGTTCTTCGGTTTACTTTTTTTTATATATACATCGCAGGGATTATGTTAGATACACTAGATACATTCCATATTTGTAACTCATAAAAACATATCACATACAAATATCTGTGTGACGAATTTTTTCGTTTTTTTAGAAATGTCGGTTCAAGGAAACGATCATAAGTACGGATTTATAGGGTTTCAAAAATTTTGTTTCCAAATTTGCAAACATCTAAGTTCATAGAAGAATTCCTTCCCCTCCCGTCTTCTAGTATATAAAGGTAGCAGAGTATGTAAGTAAGGATTTTAGTTTGTATACAATAACCGGTAGACACATAATACGACGCCCAAAAAATATGATTGAATATTCGCTTTATATATCAAGTGAATGGAATCGTTTTATATTCCATCCTTCTTCGAACAAATATCGTAAAGCAATTAATGTTATGTAGTTAAGGGTTCGGTTCGAGCTAAATGCAAATTTTTTCTATTTCTTGTTATTTTTCTTTTTTCCACTGTTCGCATTAAAGTAACTGTATAAGCAAAAAAAAAAAAATTTATCGCATACAAACGTACATATATACATACATAATTAATTAATTAAACATAGTTAAACCGTTTCTCAAAATTTGATTCACCAAAAGCAAAAAAAAAAAAAAAAAAATTTAAATACCTTCCTAGTACATGTTAAACCTTGATTGGCTTATGTTACTATTTGGTATCTAATATTTTTACCATGAACTTATTTCTAAAAACGCATTGAATTAAGAACCGTATCAAGAATCGATATGTAGACAATTTGATTAGGAAATCATTTAATTTGCAATTTATTTAAGGAAATTTAAGGAAAAATTAATTAATTTACTCACTTTGAATACGTAGGTAGGAATAGGTGCTGGCAAAGTCATATGCCAATTGCTTTTCTTAATTAAAATTTTTCCATTAAAAATCTGCAACAAGGAAATTATGTATTATATAAATGGAATGTTTTGATGGATTACACTAAACTAAATTTAAAACTAAAATAATATATTATTATTTAAATTATATGTAGTTGCCTACGAATACATTACTCTTCTAAGATGAAACGTAATTGAAAAGTTTTTTAAAAAAATCATATATTGTTTTATAAAAGTTTTTGGACGCTGTAGGCGTGCCCTTGGAAATGTTTAAGTCACTTCAAAATTTTTTTACAAATTTATGGGTGATACGTCATTTCCGCTAACGGGAAAATGTTTACTACAACTACATCATGGTCACCTAGACAGAAAAGTGGATAGACGCACAAACGGACATGTTTAGATGCAGTTCGAATTTAAAATTGGGGTAAGAGTTTATATACTTTATGGGATTTTTGAAACTTGTTTCTCAGTGTTTTAAAGGTATTGAAAAAAAAATTACATTTTCATACCCTATGATAGGCACTCAAATACATTTCCGAATGTGCCGAATATATAGATTCAGATCAAAATGATATGAATATATAAGTTACTGAATAGACTGACAGTAATGTTAGTGCAGTGATCGCAAGACTTAATACCAAAATAGAAAAGAACGCCACACGTGATGAAAATACGTTAAAAATAATTCTGTTCATTAAAAAGCTTAAGCAACTAAGAAAGTGAAATTTACAAAAATAAAATTAAAATTAAAGCAAAAAAAAAATTTGGAATTAGAAAAGGGGTGAGAGAAAATATAAGATTGAGATAGAAAAATAAACGCTCAAGCGTTCGATCAAAAGAAAACTTGGGTTTCGCATCCGTTATCCTGCGGCTAATAACCGGTACTCCATAGCGTTATACGAAAACACAAAAAGAGATAGAAGAATGAGAAGCTTAGGACTCTTATCTTTGAACTTTATTTATATTTAGATGGCAATATAAACGCATTTTGTGTGTAGGTTCCGTCCTGTTGGACAATATCATACTTGAAAAAAGAAACTAAAAATAAGAAAGCAGATGACGTATATAAATTGCCGCTCTTTGACGGAGCTTATTTCTCAGAATGATACGCTTAAAGGCACCTTTCACGTCGTGGTCATCTCAAGCTTTACATAAAAACTTTAGTTTAATAATAATAAATAAACGCTTTCTCGTTTCCCCTTTTCTTGATAAAAGGCATTATTTGTTGGGATTGGATATAAGTTTTAATTTATAAAATTGACAAAAAAACACGACAACATTAGTTCAATCTGCCTATAAAATTCTCTATTCTCTCTTATTTCTCTTATCCTCTCGTTTTTTTTTTTGCCCAATACACGTCAGCTGTTTTCTACGAAGGTAGATAAGGCAGCTTATGGTAATCATATGCCCGTTAAATAAAATAATTAGTACACTTTGGCAACATTAACAGTAGAAAGCAAAAAAAATTTCACAGAGCATCAAACATTTTAGTAAATAATATTTCGTCTTAAAATTCAATATAATAATAATCTTCTACCAGAAACAAATACATTTCAAATTTCACGAAAAGAAAATTTTGCAATAGGAATTTTAAGCGCGCAGTAAGTAACAAAAAAGAAAGGGGATAAAAAAAATAATTATGAAATCGATATATAATGAAGTAAAAAAAGTTTGTAATCAAATTGGGGTCAAAGAGAGTGTGTGTGCATGAGTATTAAAACAAATATAAATTGGTGTTATAATTCAGAATTCGAGAGAAATTAATAACTAAAAGCAAATAATATCAATAAAACGGAAAAAAAACATAAAAATAAAACACGTATAGAAAAGAGTACTTAGAACGCCACGTCAAGTAGATCAAGAACGAGAACCAAAAAACGTATTGTTTATGTTCTTTATCTGATGGAGTTTTGCTAATTTCTTCTCAAAATGTAAAAATCATTTATTTTATATAATCTAATAAGAAAATATTCATACATTTTTTGTTCTCACACTTTTTTTTTTTTTTTTAATCGATTAAACGGCATTTTTCGCAATACACGTATAACTGCATGCTAACTGATTAGAATCATTTTGTTTATTGCTTTCAATATATTCTCACATAACTTTCTGTTTATCTAATGAAGTGCAAGCTACGCTTTCTATCGAGATACATATGTATATACACAGGGGTGCCAGAGGAAGACGATAATGAGAATTTCACATGCAAACATCTAACTGTCCCTAGATGAGTACATCTACATACATACATACATATAAGCATAAACAAAGTTATTACGTTCTTAAATGTCGCATATCAAAACAATCATTGCAAAGTTCATTTCTATTAAATACATTTTGTCGGTATACGCTTTCTTTTCTTTTTTTTTTTTTTTTTCTTCTACCAAATAATTACGGGACTCTTGTGGTAATGAACAATAAAAAAATATTTTTGAAATAAAGAAATTTCAAGTTCGCTGTAGTTTCAAGAGGAATTAACAAAAAAAAGTTTGTGATTACAAATTTTCTTATCATAAATTTAATTACGAAAGAAAACAGTAACATTACATACACGCATATATACATAATGAGAAATTTATCATATTATTTTTATATTTTAGCGTAACTAAGCGTGCTCTTCTAATCATATAACATAAAAATCTGGGTAGCGATTGTTGCGGTAAAACGGAAAATTGAACTCTTGAAATGGCTACGGAATCATCAGTTACTTTAGTAAATCATGATATCTCCGTTGTAGATTATTCAAAAATTCGTACTAATGAATCATCGGCAAGCGATTTGGATAGTCCGGTGCACTCTTGCAATGAAATTGTATCCGGTGCACGTAGCGATGAAGATGACGATATTTTCGATGAAGTTAAAATGATTTTAAGGAAACGACGTGCTTGGGATCATGCCGATGCATTAAGTGCTAATGATTTAGATTTGCTAGGAGATGATGATGTTTTGGCAGAGGATGAAGATGAGGCTGGATGCCCTTTACCATCGACACCGGAAGACACTCAACTAATTGAAGCCGAGGTAAATAAAAATAAAAATGTTATTGTACAGTTCACACACTTAGCCCCATAGCATTAGAAAATGTATACATATGCATACATATATATATATATATATATCTATATGTATTCATGTAGCTCATTGCACTTGGTTACAAAATTTTCATTAGCATTAATAGCCTTTAAAGTACTTTACGGTGTTGTTAAGAAAAACACAAACCACTTTCAGTCGAAAACTTTTTGCTTTCACTAAAATTAGAAATATATATATATATGGAAAACGTGACAATTAATGGTAAGCCAACATGTGCTTGATATACAATAACGTTGCTCGTGGTAAATGTTAAGAACAAAATCGTTAATAGAATGTAAATAGCATTTTCACGTGTTTCAACAACGCTTAAAAAAAAAATCAATTTAAATGTAATTTGTGTCTTAGCAAAAATTATTTATATTCTTTACATGTTCTTCTTCTTTCTTATATCTAGATGACAGAAGTTCTAAAGGCTGGTGTCCTTTCCGATGAAATTGACTTAGGAGCTTTGGCTCACAATGCTGCCGAACAAGCCGAGGAATTTGTACGCAAGGTACGGTGGTGAGAATTTCTGTTTTTCCCTATTTTTATACCCACCACCGAAATGGATGGGATTATATTCGGATTATGTCGTTCCGTCTCTATTACCTAGAAATCCATATTGTATGCCCTATCAAGTTTATTTATATGCCTTGAAGTATGTCTTGTTGATAAATATATTAAATATAATCATAATTTTGTCTGTTAGCTGTTGTTCGGACTCGCGTAGTCTTGTGATATGTAATTTAAAAGCTAAAACTTCGTATCTATATTCCTCGTCGAAGGTTAAAGATCAATTGTTTCACAAAAATTAAGAAATTGCAAACTGATAGCGAGGCCCTCTAAGGTTCACTTTAAAAAAATGCTTTGAGTGGCCAACAGATATGCTATCAAGCAACAATTAATGGAAAAAATTGATGTAAAAACGTAGCACTGCATACATATACGCGTATACAGCAAGTTTCAAAATAAGCGCGATTTGCTTCACAAAAAGAATGGCATAATAAAGATAAAGCTGAACAAAAAAAAAAAATGTTAAATATTGTTATCACACACCTATAGTAGATATCGATTTAATATTTGATACAAATATTTACTAGGGTGCAAAATACAATCAAGTAACAAGCCAAAAATCAAGACAACATCTGTTGGTGGGTATCCAATGTTCATTTCAAGGCGCGTTTCTAATTTATATGAAAACTCGTACATTTTTTTTGTTATATAATTTTTTGTTTGATTTCGATTTTTGCATTTAAAGGTTTGGGAGGCGAGTTGGAAGGTTTGTCATTACAAAAATTTACCTAAATGGCTGCAGGATAATGATTTTCTTCATCGTGGCCATCGTCCACCATTGCCTTCGTTTACCGCCTGTTTTAAATCGATTTTCCGTTTACACACGGAAACTGGAAATATATGGACGCATTTATTGGGCTGCGTAGCCTTTATAGGTGTGGCTGCATATTTTTTATCACGACCCTCAGTAGAAGTACAAGTTCAGGAAAAAATTATATTTGGTGCCTTCTTTGCTGGGGCCATTATTTGTTTGGGTTTTTCATTCGCTTTTCATACGGTCAGTTGTCATTCAGTGGAGATTGGAAGACTGTTTTCTAAGTATGAGCAATCCATTCGATAATTAATTATTGTATTATAAATATTTTTAATTGATTTTTTTTATTTATTTATTTATTTTTTTTTTTTTTGATCACAGATTAGATTATTGCGGTATCGCTTTACTTATAATGGGTTCCTTTGTTCCATGGCTTTACTATGGATTCTATTGTCATTATCAGCCTAAAGTCATATATTTATCGGTAGTTTCCGTATTGGGTTGTTTATCCATCATTGTTTCATTATGGGATAAGTTTTCGGAGCCAACTTTACGTCCTTTAAGAGCTGGGGTTTTCATGAGTTTCGGCCTCTCCGGTGTTATACCAGCAATTCATTACGGCTATATGGAAGGATGGTTCAGTCAGATAAGTCAGACAAGCCTGGGATGGCTAGCTTTAATGGGTGAGTGCTACATATTCATGTAATCGAAAATCATAATAATATTTTTATGCTTATTAAGGCCTTTTATACATATCGGGAGCTTTACTATATGCTTTGCGAGTCCCAGAAAGATGGTTCCCTGGAAAATTTGATATATGGGTCAGTTTTTATGAATTTTTCTTTTCCTTTTTTTTTTTTTTGCTAAATCTTTACAAAAAAAGATTTTGTTCATGTATTCATTCTTTCAATCCAACAGTTTCAATCGCATCAATTATTTCATATATTAGTGATTGCTGCTGCCTTCGTACACTATCACGGCATATCGGAAATGGCTATGTATCGCGTTACTGTGGGTGAGTGCAGAGTACCCCACGAACCCATTACTTTCTAAACGAAACTCTTGGCAGTCTACAAATGATTTTTTATTTTTTAATACCACTTTGCTTAAAAAAAACAACAACATCATTAATGGCTGCATATGTATGCACGCGAACACATACGTGTTACGTTGGTTTTTTTGAACATCAAACACGACGAAAAAAAAGAGAAACACGCTTAGCGAAAGACTATACAAAACAGCATAAATTTACAAAATATAAAAAAAAAATTATTAATTAAAATGAAATGAGATGAAAATCAAATGTAATGTATTTGAGAACAAAAAAGAAAGTTTTTATTTCTTCTTATTACTCAGAAAAAAATAAAAATAAGCAAACCTTATAAAGCTTAATGAATTATAGTTGAAATTGAAATTTAAAGAAAAGAACAACAAATTTTAATTTAATTTATTTCATATATTAGTAATGTTATCCCCTGAATATTCTCTTGTGGTTTATTTAATATATATATATATTTTTTTTTTTTAAGAAAATATTTATAAAATTAGTTCGTCCAAAACTAGTTATTTAAAGAAAAAAGCACACTCAACTCAAATATATATGTTTTTTTATTTTTAATTTTCTATATTAATGTTTATCATTCCATTAACTGTTTGGTAATAAAGGCTTTTTTTCTTCCTTCATACATATGTTCTTCGTTTAAGTAGTTGATAGTTTTAAAAAAAAAAAGTCTTTTATTGTTTACCCTTACGATACCTTAGCTGTCGTTTACATTTAACATGAATATGTCATTCTTAGCCGCAAATTAATGCAAATCAATCTATAAACTATATAAAATAAATTCATATAAGTATTAAAAAGACAAAACTATATACAAATTCGAAATCAATTTGCGTAATCAAATCATTAAATATATCACACTCACGATTACTACAATACATAACAATAAAATGAATAGAACGGCAAAATAAAAGGAATGTGTTTTTTTTTTTTGTTGATTAATTTAAAATTAAAATTAAAAAGAAAAAGAAAAACCCCTAACAGATGACGATATAAACAACACTTGATATAGGCAGTCAGCCCGCCTGTCAGTCTCTCGCCAGTAAATGTAGACGCATCAATGAAAAGGTTTGTGGAGTAAAAAAAAAAAGAAGAAAAGATGATACTAATGTCTTGACAACCGAGACGGGACTTTTAGATATTCATTTTGATGAACATCCAACAGTCAACCGAGCTTTGAATAAGTTTTCATAATCCCCTGATATTTCCGAAATAAATACCTTTTGCAAAATATCTTTTTACTCATCACAATTTCAATAAAGTTCTAAAAACATTTTTGGAAAAATTTTCAAAAATGTTGATAAATTTGGAAAGCTTCACAAAAGTTTTTAAAAATAATTTTTAAATTTTATTTTTGTTCTACGTAAATAGACGAAGAATCGAACTAAGTATGTTTGTCACTAAGCGAATATTCAAATCATTGTGTTTGTGTAGGTAAGAACCAAGCTAGAGTTCACGGGTTTCAAATCTCAAGTACCGTAGACTTTTCTTTGGTCGTAGCTATAGTAACTGCTCAGTCGGAATAACCGTGTGGGCATTGTAGACGTATCCTTGGAAAAGTTCGAGTCACGTTTAAATGCTTTTGCAAATTTGTAGGCGATATTTCATTTTCGCTAATGGGAAAATGTTTATCACAAATATTATCCAGTTGCGCAAACAGACAGATGGACACATGCATTCCGAATTTGAAACTTTATGGTCTTTTTGAAGTTTGTTTTTAGGTCGTATTAAGGTATTGAAAAAAGAAAATTAATTTTTAATAGGTTATAATATTGGGTAGGCGTAGTCAAGTTTTTCATTTTTGCACAGTTACTTATAAAATATGCCTTTAATTTTTTGTACATTTATCTGCCATAGTTTATAAGTAATAGGAGGAGTTCTCCGTTTATATATTACTGTGGGAGCGTCCTCCGACCGATTTTGCTTATTTTTAATACCAACCAGCCTGCAAGATCTTGCAATGTGTTTGCCAAATTTAAAGTCGATAGCATCATTTTTGCGGTGGGGATTTTCACAGCAGACATTACACAGACGAACAGACAGACGTGCTTAAATCGTTTTAGAATTTGATGCTCATCACGAATATATATATTTTGTGGGGTTTCTGTTGCTAGCTTCTGGGCGTTGCGAACGTTTTACCAAAATGAATGGCATTTTTCGGTGATGGGCATAGTTGATTGTGATGTGGTGTAATTGATTTTTGGTTTTCTTCTATTTTAAGGAAAAAAAGGTTATTTCACTATATACATATATCGAATTTTGAGAAACTTAGAGTACATTTTGTTGTGCTTACAAGAAATCAAGCAATAGCTTTTTTATATAGTATTGTTCGGTGGGTATTTAAAATTCGCTTTAAACCGTATATGTATGTATGTTATGTACGTATATTATAGTTAATAAAGAAAAGGAAAAATATACGGAAGACATTAAATATGCGATTTTTTTTTTTTTTTTTTTTTTTTTACACATATTTTAGTTTGTTTTTCTTTTCCAAAAACTATGCCAAATATTATTATCGATGGATAAGAAAAAAACAAAAAAAAAACAATTTTTTTTTAAATTTTATATGCGTTTATTAACGAACGTTATAAACAAATTTAATAACGTGAGACTTTAGGTCCAGTAATGTAGCAAAGGTCAAATCGTTATTTGATTTGAATTAAGAAATTAATAGCAACACACCAATGGCAATAATATAGTAAATGATTATAAAAAAATATCAATTTTATACTTTGCTACGCTGCTCATTAGGATACAATTTAATGTCTCATTCAAAAGTTTCAATTGAATTAAATATTGTATAAATACATAAATGTATTTAATGCATTATTTAAAATTGTTATGCTCTTTAGCAAAAGAAAATAACCTTCTCTGAAGGTTGAGGTTCTTCTTTAATAATTTGAATATAAATATATTTTAATGTTATGGTCAAGGTTTTCAATTTCTAATATATATATATTTTTTTCTTTTTCCTTTGTTTCTTTTTCTTTCTTTGCTTTCATATTTTTTTTTACTGTTGTGTGTTATGTCATTTCAAGCAGCTGTTTGTCTGGTTATTGACTGTTTCGTTATATTCATAGCTCTTCTTTTCTTTTTTTTTTTTTAAACGGGTGAATACCACAGATCCATTAGTAAGATTAATGGATACATTCGATTGTATACACATTCAACGCGAATCTATTTTAACAAACTTATAATCAATATTCAAGTGTATTGCCTAAACCGATAAGGATATGGAGTGAAGCTACGAACAGATAAAAGCATATTTCCATCTGGAAAGGAATATGTTTGGATTTTCTCTAGCTTTGAAAGATTGAAGATAATACGATATTTTGCCGGTTGTAAAAAAAAATGTACGCTCTGTGGGTATCAGTGCATCTATTGCAATTTGAACTATAATGACGAAGCAATCTGAACTATGAGAAGAAACTGAAATCTAAGAGAGCTGGAAAAAAACTAGACCAAGGAATTGTATTAGTTTTCGCCTTCAAACCACATGTCTTGAGGGCAAAGCTAAACTCGAAACGTTTATCACAACAGATAGTTGATCGATAGTAAAAGTTATCCGAAACTTTTTAAATTCAATTAATAAAGTAAGGAACGTTGCTGCCAGTTGCGGACATAAAATTAATATTATTTTCGATATCGAGCGGCACGTTTAATTGCGGACAGTACAATAATGAAAAATACTTTAGAAAAAAAATTACAGAGAAAATTGTCGGAAGAAGCACTACACCATCCACATTACTTCCCTGTTAAGAATAAAATACTTGCAAGAGATTGCCTTAATACCGCTATTGCGTAATGCGATACCGTAATGAATTCTTCAGGATTCTACTCCTCCAGTGTTCAATTGTGAAGAAGATGAATGGCCAAGCCTTTCGTCTACGAATGTGTTGAAAGCACCTGGAAAACTTGAAATGAGAAAAACATTCAACTTTTTTTTGGAATGATTACAACAACCAGCTAGCCTACCGCTTCATAAAGAAACGAGCTAATGGAAATAGTTGCTAGTGCATATTCTGCTTTTCGACCTAGAATTTATTTCCGTGGTCTAAATAAATAATAATATTAATAATAAAAGTTTTAGAACAAGCTCTCCCGTATCCAACGCCATCCGGTTTACTTTATTAATATTAAATAAAAACAAGTAAGATCGTTGTCAGTCAGGCAAGGCGGTCGTTTAGATACCCCACACCGCACACATTAAAAATAATTATTATAATTTTATGCAAATGCATAATGCTTTCCATGAAAGCCCTCATTTTGGAGGATACTCAAGGTTCAAACTTAATTTTGCTTGTCATCGATTTTTCTATCATTTAGGTGCTTCCGTCAAAACAATCCATAAACTAGGTTTTGTCGCAATAGAAGGGTTTGCTTTCATCGGATCCCTTATATATGGTGCGGTCTAAAAAAGAGATCTATGTGATCCAAATTCTCTTTACTTGATTTGCTAAGGATAAATTTTTTATAATAAAATATTAAAAACTAGATCAAAAAATAGATCTACGTGATCCAAATTCGCGTAAGGTTAACGTTTATATCAAATTATTATTATGAACGAATTTTCACCAAGAATTTCTGGAAAATAGGTACTTTAATCAAATAAGGGGACTCAGTTGGTAAGTGATTCGAACAGCTACCACAACCAATGCAAAGTTTTCACACCAAATTAGAATCCCGAAATGATATTACTAAGCGATATTCGCCGCGAAATTTTAAAAATTATAATATTTTTTCTTATAATGACTTAGCAAAATAAGTCGTTATATGAGAAATGATTGAAATAGTGAACCGATCCGCAACATTTTCAATAGTGTAAAGAACTCATGAGTGCATTTGATTTCATTAAAATATCGCGAAAATTTGCAGCTTGAAAATTGAATACAAGAACACATGGTCAGGCGGACAGGCGGACATACAGATCGACAAGCTTGCAGATGCAAGAAATTATTCTGAATCTATCGATTTAATAAAAGTTGGGTCTATCTGAAGACCTTCTGGGTTTTACCAATCTTCCCGCAGGAACTTAAGATAAGCAGAGTATAATGATATATAGACAAATTTTAAATAATATTTCGATACTGACTAAATTTTAAGATAGATAGATGCGTTTATGTTGCATTGCGTTGCAAAGAAGGTTTGCTGTTTGAAAACTCTAATTGAATCTGTTATTGTGTAAAGCAAAATCAATGAACTTTGAAACGTCTTTATGCATTTATTTCTAAGGATTTTGAACCGAAAAAAGCTTTAATGTTTTTTTTAAAAAAATTATTTACAAAATTATATTGATATTTATGTTAAGAAATATATTTAATGGAATATATTTTTTTTTTTTTTTATAATAAAATTCGATCGCATTGATATTGATTTTCAAAACAAATGAAAGAAAATAAAAAAAAGGTAACATAATAAATGTAACATATTCGAGTATACATGATCTACTATTACGTTTCTTTTAGAAGAATTTATTATTCTTTTGAAATTATATTAATTCAGTTGTATTCGAAACTGTGGTGTGTGTGTGTTCTATGAATGCATTATTTGAATAAAAAATTATTGCAACTAACATGTGAACTTTACTGAGAATCGAATTAAAAATCGATCAGTAAATCACTTTTGTACATAAGCCTACAATTTACACACACAACTGTTTAGCAAGCATTTTATAGCTTGAATATTAGGATTTTGAATATTAGGCGCGTTAAGCAAGTTAGTAGTAAAAGGAAAATGAGCATCGATGTGAAATCTTTTGTTTTGTTGCTTTGTAACTGACAGAAGAGAGAAAAACTCGCAATCGAATTGTGAATTGAAGTTTTATCCGCTTTTAGAGAAAATATAATTTAATAAAAGCTTTAACACTTATTTATTTGAAATGGCCAGCAAAGAGAGTCACAACTGCTTGAATCGAATTATTTTGAAAAATTTGATTAATGAAAGTTATTATTAGCATTATTATTATTATTATTACTACAATTAATTTAGCCAGAGATATAAATTCCAAGACAAAAGTTCTAAAGCACTAAAGCTATGGGATTTAATCAACACTTTCAAAGACTGATTGGAAAAGTCAACATTTCAAGTAGATTCCCCATGCGAAACACACACATACACTCTTAAAACCTGAACCTAAGCAACGCTGCAGTAAGTAAGAATGTAGTGTTCTAAGAATGCCCGGGACACGGGCATTGGACCAAAACGTATATGTGAGACATAATAGTTAATTATTATATATTTATTCATAGTATCCCAGCCTTACTAAGTACATACATATAAGTGTATTCTTATATTTATATTTCTGCAGAACGTTATCTTAGAGCTTTAACAGCTCAACACGTGATTGCTTTTAATTCGTGTAATGAAACTATTTTTTTCCCGAAACTTTTTTGAAGGAACTTCGCTGCTGTTACAGATATTTCTTGATTGACTTTTTAAAGATTTCGTAGGTTTCTTGTCAAATATTTATGTGTCATTTGGCTCAACAGCAAGAAATTTGTTAGATGCACTTGTGGTAACCTTGAAGTTGTATCAAATTTTAGACGGATACCCACTATAGCCTTTAAATGATTAGAAAATGTTCGCTTCCTTCTCAAAATTTGATGTGAATCACGTCCGTAATTTACCGTAAGGTGAGAGTGACATATGGTATTTTTTTCGCCAAAACCTCTTCTGGGCACTCTTCTGTTTTCCTGTCTTAGGTCGATTAGGAATTTTTACACACTTCCTGTATATACTTTCTGACTGTAACAAATGCAATGACTCAATGAGTATATATTCATCCTTGACAATTGAGTATAAAAATAAACAAAATCTGAGCCATCTCGGGCATCAAAACATTCATCATTTATGATCAAAAAAAAAAATGAATTAAAAGAACAGGTACAGCGATCGTCTATTTTAAGTTAACAAACAATATATTAAGCCGCACTTAAACACACATATACATATACTGTTCAAGTACTTCTTACATAAAACAGTATATCCGTTGTGTACGTACGCGCAAGGGAGACTTGAGCTGAGATAGCAGCAGCAGAATTGAAAGCGAAACTTAATTATTTTCAAAACGTCTCTGCGACTATTGGTTGTGCTGTTGTTTTGGGTGCTGATTGACAGAGCAATTGTTGTTGCTGTTGCCTTTGACAAGATCGTATGAAGTAAACTGAATAGAAGAGTTATACCTTTAATACCAGCAAAGTTAGTCTGTTATCAAAGCGCCGAGCAATTGGAAGTGTTTTTAAAATTTCACGCTCACAATTTCATAAAATTCCATATTAGTGCAAAGGTAAATTTAAAATTTTTAAGAGAAAAAAAACGACGAAATTAAATTAAAAGAAGGCATTGTTTTAAAAGTCGTCAAAAGGAGAAAAAAAAAAAAGAAAAAAAAAATACTTCGCCTTTTTATGAGTACAGAAAAGAACACCTAATAAATATTTTTGATTGCTTTGCTATAATATTTCAAAATAAATAAGGTAAGAAAAAAAAAAGAAAAAAATGAAATCAATAAATAAATTTTCATTGCTTTTATGAAATAATTTTTGTTTATTTTCAAAATTATTAACAAAAAAAATCAATCAATGAGGCTTTAATTTGCTCTTTCCTATCACTTGAACAACCTTCACCAATGCGTTCGTTTATAGAGTCAGCGCAGTCTTGTCAATACAATACTTATCATTTGTTTAAACTTTTAGCAAATTTTTGGAGATCTTATGATTTCCTATACCATAAATATTAAAAAAAAAAAAATAAAAAAAAATAATAATAATAATAAATGTTAAGAAAACAATAAAATATCACACACTAACGGCAAACGTAAATAATACGAGCAGAAGCAGCAGCATTATCTACTGAATATATTAAAATTTCTTCGGTATTTTCTATATGCAAATGAAATTAAATATGAAAAAAAATTTTGGAGAAATAAATTTTTATTCCAAGGACATGATATCTTCTCATTTTATATAATATTATCATTGTTTACATCAAGAAATATTTAAGAGAAATTCATTCATTCATATGTGTATTCAGCTTCCTTTACCGGTTTGTTCACATAATTTAAAATGAAACAAGTAAGAAAATTATATTCGCTCGAATTCGCCGAATATCTTCTATACCTTGCATAACCTTATGAGTTATGAGTAATAAGTGAAATGCTTACTGAACGTTGTACTATGGAAGCGACCTTTCATCGACTTAGACCATTTTCAATATCAACTCGTGTGCTTACAGCAATTTCCAAAGCTTTTGCTGAACACTCAATTTTTGCCAATACAGGCAACTATAAACGGACAACCAAGAAAGACGGACAGACAAGTATGCATAGATGGATTCAAAATTTGATAGTGGTCAACAATACCAGTGCACTGTATAGAACCTGGGAAACTTCCTTCCGGATATTGTCAACGTTTTGATATAGTGAACATATCTTCATTCTTCGGTGGTGTGTATAACAATGTCATCTGAACTATTATTGTAATGTACGTTAATAATTTGCCTTTCTTTGGTTTAAATTTAAAAGGAAATAATTATATTAAATTTATTATTTCGTTTGTAATACACGCTCGCAGTAGAAACCCTATAAAATACAAACGCTTCACCGCATCATCCTTGGACGAATTCTTCATATTGTTGGGTCGGTGTTGTTGTACTCCTAATGATCCTCCGTAAAATGTCTTTAGTTACTTGAGGTTAAGGTAGATAGTCTTACCTATGCTGCATTTAATACTGCAAAATGCTGACCCCAAGCAGGCGACCAAGATCGTGTGAAATATAATTCCACTATTCTTGATGATCATAACCTCTTGAGTTGACTTAAGCAAATCAAATTTCTTTCTAAAAATAGGGAGAATCGAACAACAAAGGCTATATGTATTTTTAAATTTTTGTGTCTCCTGTTATGTAAAAAGCAATTATTTAATGTCACTTTCTTTCCTCAATGTTGCCGGTAGCTACAGCTTTAGGTTGTTTGATTACGACCGCCTTAATAACGCCTACAATTCAATTAAAAAAATAAGTTTTTGAGCTATAGAGCCCTATGTCAGTTTAGCGAATTTAATATCCATTTCTGCTAACTATTCTTTTTCCAGCAACCGATCGACTACAGCTATCTATGATACATCAAGTCCCATGCATGTGCTTTTTAACAAAGTTTTTTACATTTTTTCTTACTTCGGAAAGTCTGCACAGCACACAGATTTAAAAAAAAACATCTTGACTAATTTTCGGTTGTTTTTTGACTAAAAATACATACAAAATACTTACTGCAAATAACGCGCAACCAAACTTCGACTATGTATATATGTATCCCGTTTTCTTACTTGATTATCTTGATTTCATTAGACTCATTATGCTTTTCACCTTATTTTGGTGGTGTCTTCAGTTAACGACACGCAAGTGTAGATTCGGCATTCATTCATATATTCATTATAGTACATATATACGAGATTTTATAAATGCCTACAATTAATAGTAATTGACATTGTTTTAATTTTATTTCTCGAGCACATGATTGTGTAACGAGTTTTACATACTATAAAGACAAGATATCTGGGAGCATTCAAAGATTTCTTTTTTTTTCGATAATCAAGTCAGTTACGTAAAGTCCCAAGCAGATTGTTAAAATTCTTTTCAAGGTCACTGATTCATTGCGTAGTTCATAGTTGAAGAGAAAATTCAGCTTTTCTTAATTTCTAGTAACTATATATTACGATAAGAGCAGGGAAAAAATGGTCGGCCCATCCAATCAATAGGAGCAATAGAAACTGGAGCTGTAGAAAGTCAAACGCTAATTTTCTTCTCCTTTAATATAAATAATAATAAAAACATAAAGCAGTTACAGCGTACGGGTATTTTTTTTGCTTACGGAACTCTTCTTATCAGACTCATCTGATCATGGACCAGTCAGAATAAATGCTCATTTTTCATTTGTATGATTATGATATATGATTAAACTTTAGCCTTAAAGATCAGGATGGTAGCTAATGGTGCTTGCAGCCTTTTAGAGAAAGTTCTGCTGGAATTGGTATCATTTGTAAATGTGAAGGTTAGCTAAAGAGTTGTTAGCTATCGAGATTGACTTGGGCGATCGCATAGTCGAATAGATAAGAATCGCAACTAACCGGTTCAAACTTCAGAGCGTTTTGACCACACTTGGTCGTAGCTATAGTGAATGCTTAGTCTTAGGTAAAGGCATCATATCTATTGATTTGGCATGCACAAGCTAGGCTGCGGTATCTCTTTATCTCCTGCTCTTTCCTCACTTTTTTGTAGATGTCACGGTGTTACTGAGAGGATCTTACCTGAAAACTTGGTCATATTAAATATTTTAGTAGAATTTTCTTTGCATAGAGCAGAGCAAAATCGCTTATCTTAAGCTTAGGACAACATAAGAAAAAGACCAGATAAGCGATACGTGTCGGCAGTTTATTGAAAACCTTATCCAAATTATGCTTAGACTTACCGAAGGGCACGCTGCCAAAATGACAAGCTTCGCTCCGATAAGTGCTCTGCAGGCAAATGTTTCAAAATATATGAATATAAAACGGACATAATCCTTTCAAGAAACGTTCCTATCATTTAAATGTAAAGACAGACGCAAACTTAGTCTGACTTAGTCTGAATTACATAATAAATTTTTTCTTTATTTCTTTTATTTAGCAATAAATTTACTTTTCCTCAAACATTCTTTACGGCCTTGTCATGCAAAACATATAAAATAAAAGTATTAAGTCAGGCTTTGAATAATTCGATTCAATTCCCATATTGTGGATTGAAGCGCTTAGTTTAATCATTTGTTTATGATCACGATTAAAAAGTGAGAGTGCATCGCTTCTATTATTTCTTATTACGCAACGCTTGTTTTTATTTATTAATATAAAATCACTTGCGACCATTTATTAGAGTGAAATACGTACATTAGAGTAACGTAAGATTGTCAACCCGTTTACTATACCATACTCAATCCCTGAACATGGATTGTGGGGACTCTTTAAACTACAAGAAAAAGTTTTGAAAACTGAAATACCAAATTACTATGATAATCTATCTATAGTTGTTATCCGGTTAAAAATTCAAAAGTCTATTACATTACCATCACTATCTCGAGGCGTACGATCGGTTTTGAATTCAATTAATTGAAATAAAGCCGAAAAATTTCGGCTGGGGTTATGACCCAACCATTAATAATAAAATTAATCGGCTAAATGCCTAAATTTTCTTAAACTAGTTGGTATTCAAGTTTGTTCCTAAAGCAAGTAATCGCTTAATTGTTAATAAATATTAACCCTAATGATTACACTAATGTTAAGATAAAAGTAAGAAGACGAACGAGGGCTGTTGATGTGCTATAGCACGTAGGTAGAGAATAGTAGAGTGTTTCAACAAAGTGCGATTAACGCTAGGGAAACCTAAGAGCAAGAAATCAAGAGTTAGCTAAGTCCATTGAAGCCTTGCCTTCTACAAAGAGTCGTCCTTTTATCTTTGTTTCCCATCTCTGTCGATTCCTTAAGCGAATGTAGAAAACAATATATTCGCCTGTATTCGCAATCTTCGGGTTTACACTTTTATCTGCCTTTGAATATCGAAAAAAATAAAAATAAATTTCCTCAACACATTGAGATGAGAAAAGACGTATGCGTTAATTCATTCATTGCTCGCTTAACACATAAAGTTTACCTTTGACTTGGCAAAGCCGAAAGTTTTTTTTTTAAGGTAGGTCAGGTTTTAACAATGTAATCGGGAAAATTATCTTTTTTTTTTTTTATATATTTCATTTACAACCACAAAGCATTCAAAGAAATGATTTATATATTAATAAAAATTTTTTATTTTTATTCGCTCAAGTCGGAACAAAAAAAAAAAAATTTTAAATAAATCATAAATTTTTTTTTGTTTTTTTTTTTTTTTTTGTTATTTTTAACATAGTGACAGTCATAGTGAAACCGGAAATTTTTCTATACAAATATAATTTCTTAAGCATATTTGGTTGAAATGTTCGAATGAAATCAATGTTAATTAATTATTAAATTTGTTATCATATTGCATATGTATGCGTATGTATATCAAAATATTCTTTTTTATATATAAAAATTCTCAATAATATTTTCATATGATAAAATATGGTAATTGAAAGGTTACGCATTGTTTTGCTTTTAGCTTTTTGGGATGCGTAAATAAAACACTAGCACATGAATATTGAATAAATTGAATTAATTTGACACGTTACGCTCGCTTCTCGCTTTTTTTTTTTTTTTTTGAACATTAAATAAGTGCTTACGTTTTTGTCAATCGCTCGCTTTGCCGTAGGAGGAGCAGATAAAATGCTTAAAAAAAAAAAAACAAAACAAAAAAAAAAATTCTGTAAAACGTGAATACATTTTTCTGGTAGCGACGTGATTAGCTTATTAAAGCCGGCAAATCCTTAGAACTAAGAAACAGCCAAAACATATGGATACCATATATATATATATATATA